GTGGAGATTCCACAGCCTCATTGGGCAGCCAGTGCCAGTATTTGATCACCTTTGGGGGCAGGGCAGAGGGGAAGAAAAAAGAAAAAATCTGATGTTGAACTTAAATTTGCCATGTTCCAGCTTGTGTCTGCTGCCTATCATCCATATACTTAGGCAACAGAACTTTATATACTTGAATGGGGTGAAACCCATCTCATTTGAATTACCAGTAACTGATAATCGTACTGGAATTATAAAACACATATTAGTAAGTATATATACACTCCATTCTCCAGCCCACCACAGTGACTGGTGATATTACATATTCTGCACTCAAGAGAGGACAGTAGTACACTGGTGCTATGTATAGCTTTCAGTCATTCAAGCTGTTCCTGTTTCCTCCACCTCTTTCTTCCATACAAATAAATCATGCTGAGACTGTAATTCCTCAGATTTTTCTGTCTGCAGCGAAGCCAAATACTTCACATCTACACCCTACTCTTTTTTCTCTTTCGGCTGGTGATATTACCTTTGTTCTTTAATACAAAATAAACCAAAGTTACAATACTGGAAGCAAAATGTTTACCAAAAAAAAACCAAACATGAAATGCAATCCAAGTTTATGTTTAATACTTTTTTATCTTTTATCTACAAAGTTTCTGTTAATAGTCCAATTACATGAACAAATTTGAACATTTTTAAGATACAAGGCTATATGTCATTTACAATACAAATTGTAATGTTTCCCCCATTATGTTTAACACAGAATTTCAAATAGATTGAGTAATTCAAATAATTTGTTTTTGGGATTTTCAAAGTGTACTCATAGTCCACAAAACTTCAGGGTAACTAGAAATTTTAGCAAGAGTGCCATATAGTACTATAAACAAGCCACTAGGAAATGCTGTAAAACAAGTCAGACGTCAAAAAAAATCATATAAACAGGAAGAAAAACTGATTTAGGAACCGGGAGGATGCAAAGCTGATCAAATCTGTCTGTCCGTATCAGCATGGTAGTAAACTTCAGGTAAAACAGCATCTGTCAGACAAGCATCTAGCTTTTTATTAAGGAAATAGAATAAAACATTGAGATAAGTCTAATAGAAAGATGATTTCACATGCCTCATACTGAAAATGTTAAAATACATTTTGCTGAAATTCTTAGCTCCCAATAAAGTAAAAATTTAGCTTTTCCCATTTCAGCTGGCACTGAAAATACATCTTCTCTTAGAAAAGTCTTGGAATTTAACACCTTTATAGTAGCTAACTGCTCATACGGCAAAATGTATGTTATTAATTTTAATATTAGTTGTTTAAAGGAAGGAAGAGATCTTAAAGTCTACCGATGCCCATCTGTTACTCTGACTGCCATTCTCGTAAAGATAGTGTTTATTTTATTAAAAGAACTTGATACAGTAAACAAAACCCAAAAGAGACCAGAAATGTAGGTCCATTCATCATTTCACCATGAAAGTAAGGTAGAAAGAGGCTGAATGTAGAAAATAGTGCCTCATGCTCCTTACTGGAAATGCTTGCAGGAAACAAAGTTTCAGATTGGGAGACAAGTCTGAAAATATAAGAAATGTGACAGTAAGTTGGCCTAAATTTCTAGAATTTAGGAAAAGCAAACATTCATTTCTGGTTCTAGTTGCAATACTCAGTACAGTAACAGCAGGAGTAGAAGAGATGGGAATTTCCTCTAACTGTGTTTTAAAATGGACTTGCAGCCTCAGAGGCAAAAAAAGAAGCCAAGACATGTCATCTTATTTTGTGGTGATGAGATGACTTCATAGCATCTTGAGACCGCTCAAGCTTACTATTTAGTATTAAATGGAAAGCTCATCCTTGTCAGGTAACAGGAATCGGTACTTAGTTGTGCCTCTCTTTCTTTTCTGTGTTTTGAGGAAAGGGAGAAAGCCATGGTATTTAAATGTCTAGAATTTGTTTTCTCCTGAATTCCGGTGCTGCCTTGGTGCTTGCACTGGTTGTTTCACTTAAAACAAAACCAAAAACCTCAGCATTCATTTTGTTAAGCTCTTATTTTAAGTTTGGATATTTGTTTTCACTTGTAGCCTTATATACACTGTGCTTTTCAGACCACAGTGTGATACATGTAACGATATATTATATGTAGAGGGGAACTATTGTAACTTAAGGCAAGAAATAATCATAGTAAAGTCGAGTAAGGTTGAGAGCAAAATCAAGTGTATTACTAGCACAGACTTGGTGACTGGCATCTGTAAACTTTGAAAAAACCCAGCGCTTTCTTTTCCTGTTTCATTTAATTCACTGAACTGCTTCCTGGTCAAACGTGCTTTCTTCCTGAATCAGCACAGTGGGGACAGTGGTGCCCCAAAGGTTCCAGTTCCTTGTGCCAGGCAGCGTGACCACCTCCAGCACATCAGAAGCTTTGAATGAGACTGAGCTCCTGGGAAGGGGTGTCGTGGTGTCAGTCTGCAGGGGCAGAGGAACATCTCTGCAGGAGAGAACCACTCATGGGGCTGCATTAGTAATAACGTAGTCAACAAGTCAGTGGAAGTGATTATTCCTCACTCTTTTGCATTCCTGAGGCCACATCTGAAATACCTGAATCTAAAATACTGTGTCCAGTTTTAGTCGTCCTGTGGAAGAGAGATTTGTATTTTGAACCAGTTAGTGAGGAGGCTGGACTAGAGGACCTGCAGGCTCTCTCACACCCTATTTCATTCAGCACAAATATCCTGTCAGTGAAGTGTTCAGATCTCTAGATGTGTTTGTTTGAATCTTGTTAACTGTCTTTTATCACTGTATTTTAATAAGTTAAGGACAACAGGAGTTTCAGTGTAATCTGCACTATTGCCAGAACTATGTTTCAAATGATAAAAGATTGGTTAATTTTTATAATAAAACTTGTTATTTTTAAATCTTTATTGCCTGTGTTAGTTGCATTAGGTGTTAGCTGAGGAGTTCCTTTCTGTGATCTTTCATCAACCACATTGCATACCTTTATGCATCTGCTGAAGATGAGTTAGTACCTAGGCACCCTGTGGATTCAGCGGAGAGCATGTACTTTCATGGTGCTGTTAAATGTTCTGGATTGTCCTCTCTGGCGGTCCAAGGATTCTAGCATCTTAGCTTTGGTGTTTGAATTTGGTGTCTAATTTAGGCATTGTGAACGGCTTCTCTTGACGGTACCAAATGAAGTCTGTTTCTATGCTCTGCTGTGTATCAATGCATAGGACATGACGGCTCTTCACTGTCTCAGTGGGATGTTGAAGAGATCATACTATGAGCCATTCTTTTATAGCACTGTTGGGATCTTTGATAGAGCCTTAGGTAAAAGTAACAGCATGCTTGAGATGTGATTACTTCACTCAGTTTACTTGAAGACAATAAAAGGATTTGTTTTGACCTTTTCTTTCTTTCTGAAGAGGTGAAACAGATTTACTGAAATGGAAGTGGCACAGAATTGTGTCATTGGCATCAGGTTGTAGTAGTTACCATGATAATTCAATCATGAAAGGAAAACAAGGGAATCAGCCGATATATATTTAGGTCTTCAGATCGAGAATATTTTTGCAAACAGCAAATAGAATGCTTTATGACTCTTTTAACAGCAAAGCATATCAGCAAAGCGTACCAGTTATAATGGCCAAGTATATCTATTAGGGTATATATCTCTATTAGGATACTTTGTCTTATTAATATTGTGTGTGATGAGTATTTCATTTGACCTTTTTTAGCAAGTGTATAGAGTTCAGTATTCATGTTCGCCATCAAACTCCCTGCAAATGACAAATATTAGGTCATTAACTTTTTCAGTAAGTCATGAATGAGTAACTGCCTATTAACCTCTATGTGTCATTTTGAATGCTAATGTTGACATGTATCATAAATTAAACAGTACAGGAACTCACCTTAGATCAGAGAATCCCAGGAAAATCCAGCGACTTTACAGAGCAGTATTCTTGATTCAGTAGTTTGCTTTCTTTTACATTAGTACCAAAAAGAAATTGATATAGCATGTACGAGTAAATATCAAATTTGTAAATGTAGAAAGTAGCCATGATATTCTCCAAATTAGATACCAAACAAACATATGCGCAATCATTCAGATAATTATAATTGTTTTTCACAATAGTATATAGCTAAAGTCTAATTCACATGACACTCATGGGCACTTAAATAATCTATGTAGCTTTCTGATGTTTATTTGCTGAAACTATTGCATCTCACATGTTTTAAATTTAGACCAGTGTACTTCTGCGTCACTACTTAATAAACTTTTGTTGTTACTATTGAAAAATCTTGTAGTTAAAAAAAGTATATCCCACCAGCATCCAAATGAGGGGGATTTCAGATGTATATACACAGTGCCTAACTTACTGCAGATAGTAAGGAACTGCATTGGCATTTGCAGAATACAGTTGCTATAAACACGCATAAAAAATGAATCAAATGCAGTTGCACGTTAGCAATGTCAATGCTCTTTTGAGAAAGGACTCTATATTAAAAAATTATTTAAAGAAACATCTAAGTAACATTTTCAAATTCTTATGTCATAAAAGATCTTAAAGGAAACATTGCTTAGAATGTTATGCAGAAAAGTACAGAAATCCAAGAAACTAAAACTATGGAAGGCAGTTCTTTGCAACTTAATACATTCCTAGTAAACATAACCAAAATGCAATAAAGAAAATAGTCATTTTGGTTTAAAAAATTTTTATGTTTGTTCAAAAAAATCTAATGCATACCTCCTGAATACACTACCTTAAGTTCAATAATTATGAACATCATATGTATACTTAAGGGAAGTAAATGATCAGCACATATATATGCTGGTACAGAGAAAGTACTTTTTGTATGTGTTGCTCCTGGTGCTGCCCATTATTATCCTTCTTTTTGTTGCCTTTCTTTTGATTTGTAAAGTTAAGACTCAAAACTTGTCAAAAGGTTTAAAAACACTTGAACACTGAGAAATATTGGGCAGTTTCAGAAAACTGACGTATCTTCCTTTACGGATATATTTCTTCTTACTGCAGATCTAATGCATTTGAAGTGCTGGCACTCGATGGAGTTAGTACTGGGATACTTCAGTTTTATACAGCCCAGGAGAGTGCTGACTGGCTGAGAGCAATATCAACTAACATCAGTGATTTGACACTTCAAAATGTATGTTACTTTCTGCATATTTTCTTGTCTATGCTATTGTAAAATTATTTCTAATTTTCCAAGGGTAGAAAATAATTCACATTTAAAATACAATATATAAAACGCATGTTTATGGGGAGGAAAAGGAGAAAGGAAAGAGCAGGGAGAAGTTGTCTGGTCAATCAAAAGTATCAAGAAGTTTTCAAGACTTGCAGTGTTGTTATAGAACAGAGAGTAGAAGAAAATCAGATTGCATTTTAAGTCAAAATATTTATCCTTTCTGGTCATTTCACAGAGCTTTAGATATGACCAAATATTTCATTTTTATATTTTTGTAATTAGAATGTGCTTCAAATTAGTATTTGTTGATTTTGAAGTAGGCATGTGGAAACTCAGTAGCTAGTGAAGTGTGACTTATAGAGGCTTATTGGGAGACAGTATTTTTTCCTCTCTAAGTTGTCTAGGAGTTGATTTATTTAAAGTCATATTATTCTGTCTTTCTTCCTAGAAGTATAAAGATTCTTATACTGTTTTAAGCTACTCCTATAAATTCAGAAGTAGCATTTGCTTTTGCAGCAGAAGTGTTAAGTAATCCCTGGAGAAACAGAAAGTTATTATTTGGACAGCACATGATTATTCCAAGAAAGAACAACTGAAAACTGTTGAAGATTCTGGAATAAATCATAAAGTTAAATAGGGAACTCAATAATCTACAATATTGAAAATATATTTCAGTCTTTTTGAAATGGTAGAAATTGATGATGAAAACATAAGAGCACAGTTGTCCGTGGAAGAATTGCCTGTGCAAATTTTTAATCTTTTTTTCTTTAGATGTCTTCAGACTGTAACTTTGTCTACAAATTATGATTTAGTAATATGTCTTTAATTTATACTTTGTACTCTAGGTTAATCGTTGCTTTATTCTTCATATTATATTGTGTAGAATTTGTATTGGATTTCAATATAAATCTTTGGTCAAAACAGATTATAAATTGAATTTATTTTTCTGGTCTTGAAAAGTTACTTGGAATCAGATTTGATCACAATAGTTCATTTATTACATTAATTCTTTTTAAATATTCAGTTGCTTAAGCAACATCTGACAAAATCCAACCGTTTTGGTTATGATGCATTCTTTATAAGTATTCTCAATTCTCTTTTTAGTGATTTACATCATTTACAGGGTATTACTAGTTGATAATTCTAAGAAAGCAATTTAAATTATTAATGAAATTTCATCATTCCTTCTATGTGAATAGCAAAAATAAGTGTATAGTAATATTTTTAGAGCAATTCCAGTTCATAGTTACTAAGCTCAATTCTTTTGCTTTAAGAAATCCACTGAATAAAAGCCACTCCAAGGATGGAGGTGAATAAGACAATAAAAAGTGGCTATAAATGCAAGCAGGTTTTATTAGTCATAGGGTTCTAGTCTGTTTTTTTCAAAAGCATTATGTGCAGTAGCATATGTCCTGACATAGTATCTTCACTGTCTTGTGACCTGTAGCAGCAATATTTTATTATATATCAAGTGCTTGCATTTGTTTTCCCCATTATCTATTACAATAGTGAATTCTGTAAACAAAGTTGTCCATCTGGTGTTCATATAAGTGGCTGTTCCAGGCAGGGTCTGAGAAACAACAGCCATGATAAATTCACACGTGTTGTGTTATTGGTGAGATTAAGAGTAAATTCTATAGAGATCATGTGAGAAGTGAGTAAAATTTTGCTTGGACTTAATGCTTTCCAGGTTTTGTCAGATGTGCAGCCTTTGGTACCACTGGAAAGGACTGGCCAGAGCATTATTTTAATGACGGATCGTCAGAACGGGAGATGTAGTAGTCCATGAGAATCCCTTTTATTGCAAACCGTTTTTTAAGATAAGGACTGTGAGGCTGAGTGCAACTCAAGTGTACAGCAAAAGAAGGCTGGAGAGTGCTCCCTGCCTCTGGGCAGCCAGGGGAAACAGACAATTTGACAACTTCAGTGCTTAGGGAAAGGCTTTTGGATTAGGCTTCTTCAAAATTCATTTTGAATGCTTTTTATTACCTTAATATTATCATTTCACGAAATGATTCTTTTCTTATCATACTTCTGAAATTGAAGTTAGGGAATGGATCTATAATTCCTCAGAGCTTTTTCCTCTTTCTGCACTTCTCCACGTAGAGTGTCTCCTCCCATTTTCCAGGAGTACCGGAAGATAATCACTACTGGTTCAGAGATTATTTCAGATAATCCCTTATCTACTTACAGGTTAATTTCTTGAGTCCTTGCTGACTCTAAGTTCAATTACTTCTCCAAATATTTAAACTATTAATTTCCTATTCTGTCCTATGCCATCCTTTCTGTACATAAATTAGTTGCTATATTTGCGGTCACAGTGGACCTTTTTGCTGATACAGTTGGAAGAAAGAATGTCAGTATTCTTACCTGGCCTGTTACTAGATATTTAAGCAATACTTTCCATTGTTCACTTTCTATTTCCACACATTTTTGGATTTTGTTTGTGCTGATACTTGTTTCTTTGCTTTAGCAACTCTTCCTGCACCTTAGTCATTCTTATTTCATCTGCTCCTATTTGTGCTACTCTTATATACCTCCTTTGTCATACACATTTGCACACCATTTTGAATAATTTCTTTTAGAATTTTCGTTCTTAAAGAGCTCCTGATAACAGAATAATTGTTTTCTTACAGTCCACCCTACCTTTCATGTATCGATTTAGCCTAATATACTTTATTTTGCTATTTTACCCTAATACAGTCTCGTTCAGCAACTGGCAACTCTGTCAGATCTGCTGCTGATGCCAGAAGACAATCCTAATGTAGGCAGTACAAAAATAGCTCTGCCACAATGTGACACTTCTGCTAATGTCAGACTACTCTTTTGAAGTACTGAAACATCTAACTTCTATGCAAAGGCAAGCTCTCTGGGGATCAAGTGTAAAGGAGAGGTTGTCTTTCAGTAGTGAAGATGTGAGAAGTTGTCACTGCATAAGGATGCTATCCCTGGATGTTAGAATATCTAGAAAGTGTTACTTAGTAAATGAGAAATAATGATTCTGGTACTAGCCTTGGAAGAGTTAGTTCTTATAAGACAGAGGAGCAGAGGGAATACTGCAACACAGAGAAAGATGCAACAGTACTATTTCAGCCCTCCGTACTGATATATGCCTTGTATGCTTAGCTCGGAAAATCTCCTAGAAACTGTCAGCTTTACAAGCAGTACAGACTACATTTTTTTTCTGATAAACCTTACTCCAAATTATTCATCACTCTGTTCGTACTCTTGTTTTTTCACATACCTTTCCACCAGCGTGAAACTTCTCTATCATCTTCCCTTATGATTCAATCCCCCATCTTCTCAATGTTCTCAAAGCTCTTCACATTTACCTTTGGCAGAAGAAAATAGAGATGAATCAGCACCTTACATTTATTTCTTCGTGCACCTCTTTTCTTGCAGAAGGAGGTACAACTGAAGAAACTAAGGGGAAAGAGAGAACAGAAACTTGCAGTGAAGCTGCCATCATGAAACAAGAAGCACACAAAGTAACTTGATCTGCATGTGCTTCTCACTGCTCCTGTCCTTAGTTCAGCTAGAGGGTTCTTTGTAGAGTGAAGTAGCAATGCTGTACTGGAGATGGTTTTTTAGGAGAGAGTTCTTTGGAATTATTTATATTTCTCTCTCTGTTTTGCACCATTCAGATAGCCAGCTATTAAATACGTGCAGCTTTTCTCATGGATCTTAATTATTTTCCTTGAAACATAACACTGAACGTTAACGTAGTCATAATCAGCAGAAGAACTTCAAGGTGTTGCTGCCAGTTCATTTACACTATAGAGACTTGTTTCTTGTATTTATAACTTTGTCAAGGTTTTATTTTTTTCCCCAGTATCTTCTAATGGTGTTATTTTTTAAAAAAAAAGTATTCACAATGAGTAGTTCATAAACAGGTTAGAGAACAAGTTAGGATGCAGTTGTTCCACTTTAGACATTATTTATCATTTTTATAAATCATTCCAGCAGCTTCACTAGAGGATGGTAGAAACTTGAAATCTGGCTTCAAAAACCAGGGTTATTAATCTGGATCATATTTATGCCTTTGACAGCTTTTTCAGTTGTATATGTCACAGTGTGTAAACCTTTTCTTTTATGCCTTTGTGTACACGTATATCTGAGTGATACTCTGTATCGCAGTGGGGTAAAATTTCTGTTTGACTAGAGAGACTTATGGAACATGAGCTTTGAACATGCATATAAAAAAAGAAAGATGATTGAGGAGGTCTTGCTTTCTTCACACAGCAGAATGTGGGGTACGTGTAGATGGAAACAAAATCCTTGTGTGTAGGAAGCAGTATACAAACTTGACTGCTTCAATGATTATACGAACAATTCTATTCCCAGATTGAAAATACACGATAAAATTTCTTTGCTGCTGCTTTTGTGTGTTTGTTTTTAAACTCAAAAATTTAGCCAAGCGACAAGCAGTGACATAGGATCCTACAATAGCCAGGCAAAAGAGAAAAATAGATATCTGTCAAGATCATCTCTCTCTCTGCTGTCTGGAAATAGAATATAGGTTTATTAGGTGTATAACTTTTTCTTCCTTTTTTAGCTTACCAAAGTTAAGTGAGATAAATCCCAGCCTGGGAGGTATTTAGAGTTAGGTATATGGTCCTGAATCATTTCATCCCCATTCTGCTTCTGCCCCATATGTATTCATTTAGAACAGACTATAGGAATTACAATTGCTTAATAATTCCTTTTCCAAGTTGCCTGCAGTCTTTGCAGATCTAGGGGTTTGGGTTTAGTTCCCCTGCTGTCTCCAGCTCCCGTTAGAGTACTTCAGTGCTGAAGGCTCATGCGCTGGCAGCAAGATGCAGCATATCCCATTTGTATTCCTGTCTCTGTGCACCAGCTGTGGAGGCATGCAGAGAACATGTGGTGCCAGGTGAAGTGGAGAGTGCATACTTCTATCTCCTCAGCCCTGTGACATAGAGACATAATGTGATGCAGAAGGAGTTCTTTCCTCTCTCCAGTTACGTCAGGGCTGCAGCCGTCCCTGCTTTGAATAGGGAATGAGCTAAGACTGCGCAGTGAATAGCTGTGAAGTCCAAAGTGTTCTTCCCTGTTACCCTTACCAATGGGAAGCTGGACTGGTTATGACGATGCTCTTCACAATACTCTACCCTCATTCTGGAGAAAAACTGGCCAGTCTCACACACATTTTTCCAGGCATGTCTGAACACTATAAAATAAGAAGTAGGATAACAAAATTTCTTCCTATCATATTGAGAGCTTAAGTAGTTTGACTGAAACAAAAAAGTAGTTGGGAAAGGACACAGCTGGGACAGCTGACTCAAATTGGCCAAAGAGGTATTCCGTACTATATAACGTTGTACTCAGCAGTAGAAGTGACATAACGGACAAAGAAGGTGGGGATTTGTCTTCCATGGTGGCTGTTGCTTGGAGGCTGGTTGGGCATCAGTCTGCTTGTGGGAGGCAGTGAGTGATTGCCTTTATATCACTGTGTTTTTTTTCCTGTTTCCTTCACTTATTAAGCTCTCTTTATCATGACTCATGAGTTTTCTTGCTTTTGCGTGTCCTATTCTCTCACCCTTCCTGATGGGAGGGGAAAGAGAACGAGTGGCTGTGTGTGTGCTCAGCTGCTGGCCAGAGTCAACCCACCATAACAGGCAATGGCATCACCATATTTACTGAGCTACATGGCTGCAAACATGCTCTACTTCCAAAGATTATTGACATATTTGATCTTAGAAATCTGGTATTCCCAGGATACCAGCGTTAGCCCTGGATTTCTTCTGCTCTTTTTACTGTGCAAATTGTAGTTTTTCCTGTGTGTAGCTATAGCTTTTGGTCTTCTTTGACAAGCCTTTCATTTGTTATAAAACAGGCTTTTTGACAACAAGACCCTTTGGAAGTACTCATCAACTGTAGGATAATTTGCAGCTCATATTCTTGCATATAGGGAAGTCTTGTCTTTCGAGTCATTTGATCTTTTTCTGTCTGGATTTCATATTGTTATTACACTTAGTGGTATTGCACTTTAAATAAGCTTTTCACGTTAAAGGAGGGAATATTTGTCAGGGTTTGTCCACCACTCATCACTGCAAACTGACTGTCAAAGAAAAGCCAAAATTAACAAAAATCTTCATTATCTGAATACAGAGCAAAAAGAAAGATACATAACTTTGTCTTGAAGAGTAAACTACAAGGAAAGACTAAACAATATTACATTCATCTTTAAACACGTCTCTATGGCCTTCATTTCACAAGTACTTAATCACATGCTTCATTTCATCACATACAAACTGGGCACAGAGTGGGTTGAGAGTAGCCCTGAAGAGAAGGATTTGGGGGTGTTTATAGATGAGAAGCTCAACATGAGCCGGCAGTGCACTCATGTGGCCCAGAAGGCCAAACGCATCCTGGGATATATCAAGAGAAGCGTGGTCAGCAGGTCGAGAGAGGTGATTCTTCCCCTTTACTCTGCTCTTGTGAGACCCCGCCTCAAATACTGTGTCCAGTCTGGTGTCCCCACCATAAGAGAGACACAGATTTGTTGGAGCGTGTTCAGAGGAGGGCCACAAAGATGATCCAGGGGCTGGAGCACCTCTGCTACGAGGACAGGTTGCAGGAGCTGGGATTGTTCAGCCTTGAAAAGAGAAGACTTCGGGGGGACCTAATAGCTGCCTCCAATACCTGAAGGGAACCTACAGGAAGGCTGGGGAGGGACTTTTTACAAGAGTGTCCACTGATAGGACAAGGGGAAATGGGTTTGAGTTGAAGGAGAACAGATTTAGATTAGATCTTAGGAAGAAATTCTTCAATACGAGGATGGTGAGACTTTGGAATAGATTGCCTGGAGAGGTTGTGGATGCCCCCTCCCTGGAGGTGTTCAAGGCCAGGTTGGACGGAGCCTTGAGTAGCCTGGTCTAGTTGAGAGGCGTCCCTGCCCATGACAGGGAGGTTGGATTTGATGATCTCTAAGGTCCCTTCCAGCCTATGCCATTCTATGATTTGTAGATCTGCTTAAGCAATTGTTTAACTGAGACTTAAGTGAGGTGTCTACTATAAGTATAATATTTTCACTCAGAGTGACAAAGTTAAATTCATAAATGCAAATCTTTATGAAGGATTTAATGAAACCTCTGATTAAAGGCTTCCCATCTTTGAGATTTTGGTTTTGTCAGTTTAGTGTGATAGTATAAATCTAGTATTTATGCACTGAATGATTTAATTTCTTACATATGTAATTCGGAAGTATTAATACAGTATTCAATAACTAAGTTAATGCTAATTGCATCACAAAAGGTCTTCAGCATATTAATAACTCTGTATATTCTTCCATCTCTCTTTCATAGATGAAAATGGCAAATAAATGCTGTTCTCCCTCAGACCAGGTAAGAGTTTCTTTAAATTATCCAATTTTTTAAGTTCTTATCATTGTGTTAAGTTGCAAAATTTGTGGAGCTTACATACACACATTAAGTCATTTTTAAAATTTTAAATCAAGTTTTATATGGTTTGAAGTTCTGAAATGACCTACTTAATACAGCAGATCCTTACTAATCCACAGTAATGAGTAGAATCCTCTACTGGAGAGCCAAAAAGTGGATTACATGGAACCATGAAATAAATGAGAGGACGATGGAACTCATAACCAGTTCTTGGTTGTGTACATTTGCATGTAATATTGCAGCAGTGAGTCTTGACAAGTTAACTCTATATTTACATCATATATGGTGCACAGATAGCCAAGGAGTGTATTACAAATCCAATCTGTTTTGCATGTGTCATGCTGTGTGGACTATGTTTGCCGTGACTGTTTGTCTGAGACTTTTGAAGCTCAGGAGACTGATGAGATATTTCTTCAACTCCAACTAGCCAAATGTCCTGAAAACCCAGATAAATTTACTGCATTGGGAAGTATTCTTACTTCCTGTAGCACTGCAAAGAGTTTCTTCATTTACTTTGTAAAATATAATAGGAGTTTCTTCATTTACTTTGTAAAATATAATAGTAGCATTTTCCAGGCTAAATCTGTAATTCTTTGAAGCTTGTATTATGAAACTAATGAGTTTCACTTACGTGTGGTTTCATTCCATCAACGTGACATTGAATCATTACTCAGGAACAAACAACCCAATCCTTGCTGTTTCCAAAATGCTGTGTTTGTAGATTATTAAAGTGAAAATTAGGCAAGATGTCATTTATACTGTTCTACTGCAGAAATTTATTATGGAATTTTATTACAGAAGTCACAGAATGAGTCAAAAAATTCTTCTTATCGGATCAGATAAATGCTGATTACTTTGACAGTTTGTATATTCTTTCATATGTCACCATTTTGTCAGCTTATTTGTAAAATGTATTTGGACATTTATAGATTCTTCTAGAAGTCATTTAAAATATTTAACCATTGACATCTTCTTACACAAGAAAATGTTTTCTTATGTTTGGGTGAGTACTTTGAAAAAAAGTATGCCTCAAAAACCACTAAAGACTTTAATTCTATGTATAGTCGATCATCAAGTTACTCCCAAAACCAAAATAATTACCTTTCTGTATAAGAAGGGAGTATTTAATTACTCTCTCTTCCACAGCTTTTAATTATTAATTAAATTGATGTGAAAAACAGGTGATTATGAATGCCAGGGGAGAAGGTATTGAATTTGAATATCTTTTGTTGGATGAGCTCTCTACCACAAGTACTTTAATAACTATTCAAAGTTTATTCATATCAGTTTTAGTACACATAATGGCTTTAGTTGAAAAAAGGAAGACATCTTCTTCCTCATTTTTGAAAAATATTGGTGACAGCCATAAAACCTATCACTGTCTAATTTGATTTCCTATAAAATCTATAAACTATAAACTTCTATTTTCTCCGTAAACTGCCTAGGTAGTCAGTGCAGAAAAGTATTCTCTTCCAGAGAGTTGTTCAAATGTGGAACTTGATATCAACGCTCTAAATCATCCTTTATAGGAGCTTCTTTTTCTGTCTTGACTATACTGAGGTCCTAAGAAGAGTAGCCTCTTAGCGTATCATCTAAAGTAGATGCCTAAAGTTAGACAATATAAATCTATCTCACTTTTTCCATTCCAAATATGAAAAGAAGGGAAGATACAATTAGGACCTTAATTTCAGGAGTGGAAAATTTAAGGTGGGACTGACAGCAACAAATACTGGATTATTCTCTGGCAAAAACTGAGAAAAAAATAAAGTTAATAATTAATTTGGACAGAACAAGTAAATAAAAGTCACAAACATAAAAATATTAAAGGAGTAAATGTTAAAAATTCAGACTTTAAAATGTCTTGTGAAAATTTGCTTTGAAAGCAACCAAAATGTGACTCTCTCATATATATATATATCCCACAAAGGAATAAAATAAAACTTGGCATGATAACTGAAAACAAAAAGGACATGATCCGCCCTAGATTAATGGAGCCTATTAATGTCAGTTACATAATGTTTATTACAAACCTGAATAGCTCTTGTTAATGCAATTGATTTAAAATTAAGAGAAAGGATAAACTGAAGAGATTGAAGGTCACTGGAAGAGCTACTCTAAAGTAACATTGGTGATAGCTGCAAATTTATCTTTGCTTTTGATATGGACATTCCTGAAGAATTAAATAGGTCCTTATAGTTTCATTATTGTGTCGCCTGCAGTGAGTTTTCTTTGTTGCCTGTAGAGTCCAATTTAATCTTTCATAAAAGGATGAGGTTGGATCAGGACAGGTTTCATTCAGATTCCGTTTCCATAGGTCATTAACAAAGTGGGATTAGGGGCTTTCTTCCCTGTCTTTCTTGTTGCCCTGGACTGGTGTTGCTGGAAACTGAATCTCCAGAACATGAAGAATTCCATGGACATACAGCTAAGGATATTGGAAAATGAAAGGTCCAAGGTATTGGTTCCCAGGTCTAAACCAGCTGTATTTATGGGTCTCTTTGCCAAAAGAAGACATCAAAGAGTTTGGACTGTGCCCTGCATCTATGATCCAAAGTTAGAAAGAGGTAGTAGGAAAGGTAGTAGTAGTTGTAATTATTATATTTGTACTGTTAAAATAAACAGTAACAGGTCATGAAGGTAGTTGGCGTGATCTGGCTACTTCCACTCTTTTAAATTCTCTTCTTCCACCAAAGCAGGGTGTCTGCATTTAAATGGCCTATTGGAAACTATTAGCACCAATGCTTAAATCTCACACTGTCCTTGGGAATTGTTTGGAGAGTTCTAGTTATCACAGGCCATGTCATGCTAGTTAGTCCATGTCAAGGACTACAAGGTTTTGACAAATATGCAGAGATTACATGAATTTTAAAGGTATTAAATAAATACCACTGCTAAAGCTCTGTGTCTCTAAGTGTATATATAACCTGTGTAGATGAAGAAGCACACAGCATCTACGCACTGGATGCTTTTAGAGTGTATAGGTGCCCCACAAGGAGAGCGGGTGATTGAGCCAGGTTGTACATTATCATGGAATCACAGATTCATAGAATCATTGTGGTGAAGTCTTCTGGCTGCTGCTTTCCCTATGCAGGCTAGCTGAGAAACACCTGTGGCTTGTTAAACAGGTGCTGTAAATCACTCTGGGAGGTGGATGGTCAAGTGGCCAATGGCCTTGACCCGTCTGGCAAACCATGTGATTTGTGGTTGATTAAGGTGGGGCATTTCCCTCCTGGGTGTTGGAGGAGCATTAGCCTGCTTTGGAGTAGCAGTCTGAAGTCTTCTCGTGGCGACATCCTAAAGCCTTCTCATTGTGACACATTGTGACAAATCATAGATTACCAGGTTGAACGAAACCTCAAGGATCAACTGGTCCAATCTTTGTTTGCAAAAGTATGGTCTAGACAAAGTGGCCCAGCACCTTGTCCAGCTGAATCTTAAAAGTGTTCAATGTTGCGGAAATTTATTTTGACAAAATGTTATTTCAAAACATATCAAACATTATTTTACTGAGTGTGAAGTGTAAACATCTTTACAACCACCATTCTCCAAATAGTACAACTTTTGCTTCTGCTTGACATAATTTAGTACAGTGCTCCAGAGACTTGAAAGCTCGATTCTGTTATCAGTAGGCAGTTAGATCTGGGGCTCAATTTTCCAAAAGACACACACTGTTGTATTGCTCTGTTTTTTATGAAACAGTAAATTAGGCAATTCACTCTCTGTGCAGAAAAACTACTTGCAAGGTTTTTTATTTTGTTTGCTGGGTGATTTTTTATGTTTTTAAGACTAATATGATAATTTCTCGTTCTCCACTAAAACAATACAGTGTCTTCTCAGTATAAATAGGAAAATATTGATCAGATATTAATTAAGACTATGTATATTTTTTTCTTGTGATGCTTTAAAACAGATTCTGATTACTTCCTACAATGTCTATCCTTGTTTGCTTTGATTTTTTGCAGTAACCTCTTAATTGGCCTCCAGAGGAAAACATACAGAAAATGAAATCTAGAGATGATGATTGTAAAAGCATAGCATGTGATAGGAAGGCCAGGACACAGATTAAGATGCAACCAGCAAGGGATAAATGGGTAACAGAAAATTACCCTCTAAGTATATTAATAGCAAGAACACAAAGGAAGATGTTTGTCTTCTACTCAACATATCAGAGGTCAGCCTTCACTAAAAGGTCAACTGCAAAAGATGGTAATTGCAAATAATACTAGCAAAAGCCAATAAAATCTCAGATTGCAATAAAAAGGGAAGTTTTGGTGGTATGAATGCTCTTATTACCTGGTGATTTTGAAAAACTGGTCAAAGTATTCGCAGAGCTATTAAGATATTTCAGAGAATTTGTGTCTGTCAGCTGACACATTAAAAGACTTTGAAAGAGCAAACATCATGGCTGTTAATGGAAAAAGAAAGAGAAGTTGGAGAATTAGACTAGTCGATCTAACTTCAATCTCTAGAAAGAAATTTGAAATAAATAAAATATTTGTATGCAGCTGCAAGATAACAAATGAATAACCACCCTGAAGGATTTGTCAAGAATGAATACTGACAACCCATCTAATTTCCTCCTATGATAGTATAACACATCTTGTGGATGGGTGACAGGCAGTTGCTGCAACGTATCTTGATTCTAGTGAGGTTGATGACATTTCTTGACATTGCAATATTTTAAGCAAGTATTATACAGATTTGTTTGTACAGACTTTGTTGGATAATCCAATAATAGGTATAAATGGTTCACTTTCAAAGCTGGCATATTGACTAGGAGTCCTGAAAAGGTCTGTCCTGGATCTAGTTCTCTTTATGGTGCATTAGGAAAAGTAAGCTTACTAGTTTTGCAGACATGAAGCTTTAAAATACGGTGTTAGCCATAAGAATGATCTTGACATATTGAAGAATGAGTCTGAAAAACAGGGTGGAAACCAATTAGG